AGGCGCCCAAGAATCTGTTCTGTATTGCTTTCCCTTTTCATCAGTTGGTTAGACCTTGCCCCCCCACCCTGTGTAGTGCTTGGGCAGCCTATCAGGGACCCTCCATCCATGCAGATCTCCCCTCCTGGGAGCAACCCCGAGGTACCTGCATCAGCAGAATTTGCCTGCAGGCCCAGGCCCCCTAGGCTGCTGGTCAGCAGAATTTGCCTGCAGGCCCAGGCCCCCTAGACTGCTGGTTCTCAGCCGTGGCTGTACGTCAGAATGACCTTTAGGAGCTTTCAAAAGCACCAATGCCTGGATTTCAGCCGTGAAGATTTGTATTTGATTAGTCTGAGGTGCAGCGGGGCCTCACTGGTTTCAGAAGCTCCCCAGGGGATTTCACTGTGCAGTCAGGGCTGAGAACACCCTTTCTGGGACGGGTGGCTGGAAAGGTGGCCTTCATCAGTGTTCTGAGTTACCAAGTTGCCAAAACATGCCGACCATTATTAGGGTTCTGCAGGTGTTGCTAGTCTATTGGTAAATGCATATCAACTGTAAATATAAAAATAAAATCGTTTGTATCAAAGTCAGATTAGTTATGTATAAGCCAGCAAAGTGCTATGTTATTGCCTTTTTTTTTTTTACACTGACAGGCTCCGCTTGCAGCGGAGAGCAGCATGCATATGGATCTGTCAGCAGTAAGTCATTCTTTTCCTCCAACATCGCTGCAGACTTGACAGAACCTGCTTCAGAGCAAGACGGAGCCACATGCGCTTTTTACCTTTCCTCATTTTACAAATATAAAAAGTACTAGTCTCTTCTTTATTAGGACGATGATCTAGCTCAGCTCTGCAGGGAGGTTGTGCCTTTTTCTAAGACAGACGGACTTCCCTTGCTTCGATTAAATCCCTTTAAGCAAAGATTTCAGTTTTGAATTTTGACTCTATTGGTCGTTCTAACCTTTAGTAGAAAAATGAGTTTTCCTAAAGACATACCTTACAAAGCTCAGTGCTACATGGGAGGATAATAGTCCTCAAAAAAGTTACAAAAATAGATTACCATTTAAAAATCCTATCTGAACGTGTCTTTCATAGCACAAAAATGTCTGCCCCTCATACGGCAGGTGTGGTTGGGAAGGAAGGCATGGGTTTCTCTTCAGTAAGGTTTTACAGCCCTAGGCAAGGAAATACAAACAGATCATTATGTTGTAATAAAAAGGTGCACTTCTCAAAAGAAAGAAATGCAAAGTAGACATTAAGGGCAATTTCACCAGCGGTCACTTCGAGCGAGCTCCTCATTCACTGCAGAAGAGACCAGTTTTTCTAACTTCTTAGAAAATGCAAACTGTTTCAGGGCCCTATCAAGGCTCAGGTTTGGGTATTTGCCACTTACAGGACAAGCTGCTGGCTTGAGATAGTCACTAGCAGCCAAGTCTCAGGAATATGAAGGACTGCACGTTGTTCTGTCCGCCGCCTCCTTCTGGAACCTTTACCTGACCCAGGCTTCTCTATTCTGCCCGGACTGGGGGGCATGCTACGGACACCTGCAGGTCGCCCTAGAGATGAGGGTTTCAACTCCACTTGCCCACTTGGATCACATCGGGAGCCCCCGAGAGTCTGATTGCATTGGTCTGTGGGGACCCTGCCCCTTCTTTTTAACGTTGTCAGCCAGGATGAGAACTGCAAGTCACCATAACCCAACAGCCTCACCTCTGCTTATGTAACCCGAGGCCTGGTGAGTGCAACAGGTGAGCAGGATGCCGTGAGCTGAGGGACAGGTCTCCCCCCACCACCCCCAGCCCACCCCATTGGCCTTTCCTTCTCACCAGTGGTTCCCAAAACTTTGGTGCTCATCAGAATACCCTGCGGAAGTGCTGAAAAGCCCCTGGGCCCAGGCTGCACCCGAGGCAAATTAAATCAGAATCTTTGAGGTCGGACCCTGGGAGATCCCCGAGAGGGGACCAAGCTTGAAAACCAGTTCATTTATGTCTGCAGTTTGGGGGGCGGTGTGTGGGCTAAAGCCCCAAATTAAGAATTTCCAACAAATATCTAAGACTTGTTATCATTTGGAATGCAATCTGATGCCCCCACAGTGCTCCTCGTTCTAATAAAATCAGTGACAACTGGGACTCAGCGCATCTAGAATTTGGAAGATTCGCCTTTTTTACTTCATGAGGTGACGGAATGTTACTCGTAGGGTATGACTGCAGGGACCCCTTAAGAGTTTATACGAGATGTGTGCCCACTCTGAGTGTTAGCTTCCAACGCTTACTTTGCCCTGAACTGTTTCCAAAGGCCAGATCTGAGGTGGGGCCATGGGAAAAGTAGGCAGGAACTGACTGAGGAAGGAACAGGCTCTCTGGAGGGTCCTAGGACCAGTGTCAACAAGGAGGAATGGAAGAGATGGAGTGTAAGCTTTGAACTCTGGCCAAGCCGGTGCTCTGGAGGGCCCCCTCTCCTCGTCTGCCCATAGTGATGGTGGGGGTCCCTGACTCGGGCTCTGCTGCCTCAGGCTCTGAAGCATCTCTAAGCCCCCTCTGCACCTCCGGGGACAGCCAGCCATGGTGAGGACACTGTGGGAAACACAGTTTTAAAATCCAGGGAATTCAGCAACTAGATTCTATGCAGGCAAACTGAAATACAAAGGAGAAAAAGCTTGAATAGTTTTCGCTGTTTTATTATGTTATAGTAAAATATTGCAAATTACAAAAATACTAGGATTTAACTGCTACAGTTGGACTGACATACAGTTGCTCTCCCTCAATCACTTGCTTCCTGATGAATAAGTGGTAACAAAATGTGCATCCGTCTGTTTCCCAGGGCCGAATAAACTTCTGTGATGAAAATATTTATGTTCTGAGGTGAATAAATAATGAAAGTGGCTTACTGACAATGGCGTCAAATTTTAGAGTCTTAGAAATATATAATCTTTTCACTCATCATTTTCAGATCCCGAGTGAGGACGCCACATTTTGGGCACTGGGGGAACGCTGCAAGCTGGATCCCAGGCTTAAAGGGACAGCGTGTTAAGATGCACAAATGCAGCTTTTCTCCCCCTTTATTAGCAGTTCCTCCGGCAGATGCTTTCTTGGTCAAGGTTTCCTCTGCTGGGAACACACTTCCATTTCCCTCGTGGCTAAGACCCTAGTCACGGTTTGGCCCAACTCTACCACTCCCTCCCTGATGAGCCTTCCAGGTCCCCCCAGGCAGGACCCACTCTTCCCTGCCATGCAGTCCGTGCCTGGCTGACCTGTCTTTGCCTAGCGCCGGTCATATTATCTGAAGGTTTCTATTTATGAGTCAAGCCAATTCCCTTTGCTGAATTGTGGATTTCTTGGAATTGGGGATTATGTTTTATTCATTTTTCTCTCTTTAGAGCCTATGCTGGGCTTGTATGGGTGCTTAAGAGTATCTGCAAACATAGTGGAATTGAATTGAATAGAGTTTATATTTCCATCGGGACAAAGTCAATCTACTGGTAACAAAACTGGGGGCCTGATCTGAGAACCAATAAATACTGTAACAGCAAAAGGGAAATCTCATACGTGTGTGCGGCTGAACACATCCGTAGGCCGAAAATACTGTCTGAAACGTTTTTTCCTTGAAAGACTGGATATGGACTAAGAGCGTTTAACACCTCTGTACATAGGACTGCCATGAACCGGTCAGGTTGCGAGGACACACGAGGTGGAAAAACACTTGGTGCCCTAAATTAGCTGGATCCTCCAATGATAGGGAAATTGTCTTACGAGGGAATTTTTTTTTTTTTTTTCGGAAAAACTACCTGTAGATTGTTGTTAAGGCATTATCATCGATTTCAAACTCTGATTTCATATTTCCCACTTTAATTCCCCGACGCATAGTGTTTTTACTTCCCCCTGTAAAGTGTGCCCCCGGGGGTGAGGGCTGTCAGTTTCTGCTTGGTGGCCCCAGAGCCTGGATCCTTTCATTCACAAAGGGCGAGGAGGGGCTTTGGGGGCAGCTTACCAGAGAGGGGAAAAAAGTACCCTTTGAGTAAAAAACTTCTAAAGTAAAATAAAAAGAAAATTATGTCCCATAAGTAGCCTAATTTGGCAGTAAGGGGCGGGGTGGGAGTTTTAGGAACAGCTTCTCATTTCTGCAGTGTCCTGATATATGCCCATTCCCCAACCCCCAAAGGACTTGATGTATTTTCTCTGAGACTCAAATTTGGGAGCCACGTTCTTGTGTGAACTTTTGCATTATTGTTCCGTCTTGATTAAAGGCTACTGGTCTGAATGCCGATCAAATACGAGCTGGTCCAGGTTACGGTTTGATGTACCGTCTCCTCTTACCGACAGGGAAAGCATACTGAGTTTTTCAAAACAGTGGAATGGAAAATAAAGAAGTAAGTCCAATACTTATAACTAGAAAACACTGGTCAACCGATGACGAGTAAGTACCATGAAGAAATTTATATAAAAAGAAGTCTGAAGAAGAATTCTACCCCCTCCATTTCTTTTGCGCTCAGGAAGGGTTCAAAGTGGCTTATCCTCTTGTACCTGCTATGATTTGCTACAGTACCAATCAGTCCTGCTTAGGACACAGAGTACTTCTAGTTTTTTTTTTTTTTTTTTTTTTAATTGTCTTGCAGTGGAAGAATCTTGAAGCAGAGTCAGTGGAATCAAATGTTAGCTGGAAGACTCTGACCCTTGCTTCTTGGTCACAGTTGGGCCTGGATCAACTCCGTGCAGCAAGTGCTATGAGCAAGCTTCTTCCTCATTGGAAAAGCCCATGAGAAATAAAATCAATAATGACAATTAAAAGCCCCCAGGGTCCCCAAGCAATAAAACTCCTTATGCAATTTTTTTGGTTTGGTTTGGTTTTGTTTTTTATCAAATATACCTCATGGAAAGGTGAACTTCTGCCCAAAGACACAATATTCTTGCTGGATGCCTTTTTGCGGAGGCCTCACAGTTTGAAGACAAAGGAATGTCCCAGCAACTTTCCAAAGTGCATCTGAGGAGGGGGCGCTTCCTGGGTGAAGGATGGGTCCATCAGAGCACATATGGCCAAACCAGTCCACGGGTCCGAGAGTTAACGTGGGCGTGACTACCAGCACTAATGTGTAGCTGCCGTGGCTTGGTCCCAGGGGCACGACACATCTGAGACGCTCATGTCCTACGCTCTCCTCCATGGTCATGCTCCAATAAACTCACTGCTGGGTGGTGCTACTCTCAGGTAGTCTGCATTTTCAGCTGCAGGGCCCTTGAAGATGCCATTTGACCTGGCTTCGTTGGGGAAGAAGTCCTGCTGGTAGTCAGGGTTGTCCAGGCTGATTTGGTGGTTGCCCTTCTGGGCCCAGAGGCTGGGGCCGTCGAGCACACTGTTGACGCAGGTAGGGTGGGTGTTGAGATACTCAGGGTTGTCCACTGCGTTGCTGTGGGGATTTTGGTAGTGAGGGTCTCTGCCAGGAGCTGGATTCAGAGGCTGATTGTGATAGACGGGGTTCTGGACGGAACCCGCAGGCCTTTTGGGAACAGATTGGTTTATGTATTCTGAAACGGAAAAGAAAGCACAAGTGAGGTAATCAGCAAAGCCTTAACCCCGGCAGGATTTTCCATCTGTACATCTGAACCCTGTCGATGTTCTTCCACGAGGCAACTGAGGGTAGGGGGCGTCTGGCAAGATGACTATCTTGCTGTTGCTGCAGTATGTTCTTTTCTATAATTCTGAAAGCAGTGGGCACATTTATCTCCTGCCAATTTAAAGTTCTCAAAAGGACAGGCAGCCTTAAGATGTGTGTGTGCACACAAGAACATCTGGGGATAAAGCTGAGATTAGGAAAATACATGTTTCGTTGGCTAAGAATGGAGCCAGGATCGAATTTGTCACATGCGTGCGTGCACACACAATCATACCCACACACGCTTGCTCACACTCTCTCTCTCTCACACACACACACACACGCTTGCGCACGCGTGCCCGCATCTTTTGATGTTTGCCTCAAATTCTAGAAAATCTGCGAACTGATCCTAAAAACACACCTCCCGGCCGGACATGGCTTGAGCTCAACACAAAGACCCGCACGCATGCTCAGCTGTTCCGTATTTCTCTGCCTCTTACTCCTTACTTCGTGTCTGCAAACTCGCCACAGTGTCCACTTCTGGACTGGCTTGAGGGAAGCAAGCAGCCTGGGCACCAGGGGATGGAGGCCGGCCCTGCTGCATGGGGAGGCCGCGGAGTGCGACCTGGTCCAGGGTGAGCCACTCACCAGGTGCTGGGAGGAAAGTGTCATCCATGTTGTCCTCGGTCAAGGTGCCAGTGGGGTCTGAGCTGTACCGCTGCAGGAAGCTGTCTTCTTTGAGGGGGCAGCTCTGAGGGGAGGAAATAAGGCAAGGTTACCCCAGTCAGTGCTGCTCAGACTTCGAAGTGTATAAAAATCACCTGAGATTTTGTGAAACTGCAGATTCTGATTCAGTAGGGTCCAAGACAGCGCCTGAGACTCTGCATTTCCCACAAGCCCCCGGGGTGACGCCCATGCCGGGGGCCCACAGACCACAGGGCGAGTGGCAAGGACCTGGTCAGTGCCGTGCACCAGGGCTTTGGGCAGTGACAGAAACGTTCTATGATCTCTGCCCTTCAAGATGGTCACCAGTTTACACTGAAATAGACGCGTGTGGCTCTTGGCTTCTATACTGGGAAGTACAGGTCTCGATCAAGGCTTCGCACCAAGCATCAGCATCACCCGGAAGGCTGGCTCCAACACGGATGCGCCGGCTCTGCCCCTCGCATTCCTACTTCCGTAGGTCTGGGTCAGCGGCTCGACAGTTTGCGTTTCTAACAAACCGCCAGGTGATGCTGTTGTAGGCCCACAAACCCCATTCTGAACAGCCCTGCGATCAGTGAGAGCTAACTGCTGGCCTTAGGGTAGGGGGTCAGGGAAACCATAGGGGGAAGGAAGGAAGGCAGGCAGGCAATTCAGGAAGGAAAATCGAGGTTAGCTGGGGTAAGGTGGGCATCTTCTATGTGCGGTAGAGCCGTGATACGGAGCTGTTACTTAATTCGGGTTTATGAGGTGTTCATACGTACCCCATTTCTGTCAATGCAAGCCACGGGGGAATTGTTGCTGGTGGCGCTCTGGAAAAGAATCGAAGTTGTTGAGGGTACGCGTGCATATTCTCACCCATGCCCACGGAACGCAGGAGGTGGGGTCTCGGGGAGAGGAGACAATTAAAGGCGCTTCACTTTGTCTTGACCCATTAGCTTCAGAAAAACTAGGCTAGCTCTGACCCAATTCTGGCCCCTAGTAGACCTAAAGAGGTTACGGTCCAGTTGCTGCAAGGTCATAAAAGAACTAATACACTTGACTGATTCAGTCTGACTTTGGCTTGACCATTTGGTTAAAATCGACTTCTCTGTCTCTGTGTGAGTTCTACTAGATGGGTATCCCTGTCTCTGAACAATTCATTCAAAGCAGCAGACCTGGCGCTTGAGAAGCAGCGACATTTCGTACCAGAGAACTTAGGAGGGGGGTCCGGGATGTGGAGGGGCTATGGAAGAAGCCCTGCTGGGGGATGAGGTACTCATCGGCATCGACAACGTCCTCCATGTCCTCTTCGTCCATCAGGGCGCGGTAAAAGTTGGAGTCTGTAGGGCTTGGCAAATGCATCCTCTCATCCCCCTGGTGCAGAGGTTTTGAGACAACCGGTAAGGCCCAGAGAGGTTCTATGCCACTTTTTTGGCAGACGCCTCTCTGTTTGGCAGTTTGGTTCTAATGCGATCACCCTGGTTCCTTCCCTCCCCCGCCTGACGTTAAAACATTAAAAATTCTTTGATGTTTAAAAGCTCCTTAATGAAACAGAAACAGCTTAAGAGGAAGAAGAATGGGATGAAGGAACAGCATTTGTTGAGTGTGTCCTATGCTGTCAGGTGCTGCGATCTTGTAATTTATAAAAAGACATTTGTCCCTCCTCCTGGCATAGACCTCTTAAGGAATCTCCCAAGTGGTGAGAGTGACCACGGTGTGTTTTTTTATTTTGACGAGGGGCTTTAGGACCACACTGAGGGATGGGGGATGGTGGGGGGGGGGGCCAACCAGAGATGAAGGGATTGGAACTTGCGGTCCATCACCCTCCCTGATGTCCTGCGATGGGGGAGGGGCTGCAGGTGGTCAATCACCATTTGGCCACTCATTTAACCAATAACACCTATTTAATGCAGGCTCCATAAAGCCCCACAAGGACTGGGTTCGGAGAGCTTCCGGGTTGGTGAACACATGGAGATTTGGGGAGAGCCACCTAGCTGGCGTCAGGGAATCGCTTGCTGGGAGGTGTGTGGAAACCCCCTTCTCCCCACCCTGCAACACACACGCGCCAGAATTGCTAAGCAGAATCTTCAGGTGCCATGTAAATTATTCTGCATACATGATTTCACTGACTTAATGAAAACAGCCCCGTGAGTTTGGTTTTCTTAACCTAAAGCGCTAAGCGGAGACTCAGGGATTTGGAGTGAGATTTGCAGCCACCAAAGCCCTGCTTCTCCATCTGATGGAGCAAAGGCCCTGGCAAACCGAAATATGAAGACGACACACGGAACTGAGTATGTCTGGATGCTAGAGTTCAGACGAGAATGGCAAATGGAGTCGGGGGGGCCCTACAAATGAACACTTAGGGCACAGTGTGGCCCGTGCCTTAACCAAGGCTTGCTCTAAGGTGCTGAGGATTTAAGGACGGGACCTGGGAGACAGGGACATCGAACTGGTACACAGTGGAACACAGGGATACTGGACGCTCATCAGAGGGACTTCTCCCAGTGGAAGCTCAGAGACTGTGATCTAGTACCTGGATGACAAGGTAGCGCTGGGGGTCTCTGGCCATTTTGGAGAATTCGATGATCAATTCACGGAATTTTGGGCGACTGTCTGCATCTATCATCCAGCCTGGGGAAGGAATGAGGAAAACAGTACAATTAGACCCTGAAAGAAATGATAAAGATGGCATTGCTTCCAGAAAGCATTTATGGTGAGACGCTTTTAGGCAAGGAAGTGATGCAGAAACCGAATCTTTGTGATAGGCTCTTTAGTCTTGGCAAACTCGCGCTGATCACAGTTTAAAGACCATGATGACATAAAATACCTGAATCAGAATGACAGCACCGTCCTCTGATTTTCTATGCCTCTCTTCCTGGGGCCGGAGTTCTGGTATTATCACCTTAAGTGATCCAGCAGCCTTGGATACATCGCTCTTTGTGAACTGCTAAGACTGTAGGGGGCCCCGGTGTCCGGGCTCTCCGGCCAAGTCCTCAGTGGACATCTACTTTCATCTATATTCGCTTGCAAGCTGAAAACTAGATTCAATTTAGGGAAAGTTAGGGACTTTAAGAGCCCCGGGGTTTGGGAACTCCGCACCCTGATGCTTTCATTGTCTTACATCCTCAGTCACCAAGCACGCAAGTCAAGGCGGTGTTCCAGGGCCTTCTCTAGGACACTGGTGAACCTCGCCAGCCCATTTGATTACACAGTGATCTAAACCTGGATTAAACAAGCTGGAGGAACAGCGATCAGCTGGAAATCCTTGTCTCTCTTGAGGGCTCACATTTATTTTTTATCGGCAGGCTGTCAAGTTATTTTAGGACAGACTGCTGTGCTATGTGACCTCAGACGAATCATGTAACCTCTCTGGATCCCAGCTTCCTCAGTCCAAAGCAAGGAAGTTAAAGTAGGTTAACTCTGGGGTCTAAAGTTCGGAAAGGCATTAGTATTTACACCGACTTGGCCCCGTCATATTCCCTGTACTACTTTCTTGCGTAAGTGCTCACCACGCGTGGAATGCTATCCTCAGAGCCTGCTGAACGACAGCACCGACCACGTTACACACTCTTGTTCAGATTAAAATGTTTACTTGCTACGCTGCAAAAGACCTCACGGAGATCTATCATTTGAGAGGCTTAAGTCAAGGCAGAAATGTTGATTCTATCAGCCTCGTGTGCTTACTCATTGTTAGGCGTTTAAAAACATTCGGTCTCTCTGGTTACAGGCTTCAAAACGTGCAGCGCCGTTTTCATCGAGCAACTCAGGGAAGAGAATATTTTGGTGTAATGCTTTCTGGAGGAATTTGATTTTACTTATTTGCTTGCAAACATGGGCACATGCCAAGTCACTGTGCTCAATGGGTCAAGGAAATGCTTCCTGAAGAATGCTGGGAGAGCGTATTTACAGACGTTTCTGGACTTCGGTGCCTGCCATAAAGAACGTGACAACGTTTTTTTCCGGGGATCAAAGGTCTCAGTCTTTTGACTACGGGCTGCAACACCTTTCTAGGCCCAACAAGGCACTCTGAGTGCCAACACCCGGGTAAGCCCGCGTGGATGGCCACGGCAGTCACTCACACTTGACCATGATCATGTAGACATCGATGGTGCATATGGGCGGCTGCGGGAGGCGCTCTCCTTTCTCCAGGATGGTTGAGATCTCACTTGCGGGGATACCGTCGTAAGGCTTGGACCCAAAGGTCATCAACTCCCAAACGGTGACTCCTGAGAGGATGAAGTAGTTGCTTTATGAGTTGATAATAGTCACGACACCTTGCTTTAGTCATCATTTAAATGTTTCTAACTTTAAAAACCTACGTTTCTGCGGCTTTGGGCAACCAGCTGGATGGCCAGAAGCCTCAGTGTACCTTTCTGTAAAGTGGGATAATGACAGTGTCTGTCTTATGGGATAGTTGTGCAGATCAAATAAGATAACGCAACTGAACTGTTCAGACAACGCCAGGCAAATAGTAAGTGGCCAATAAATGGTAAAACTTTTAGTAATAGCAACAAACACAACGCAACCGCTATAATGACATAAGGAGCAGGAGTTCCACACTCAGACATCTGCCCTAAGCGACTTGTATGTATGGAAGACGGAGACTGCAGACAAGGTTTATACAATGCACATTTTTAAATAATAATAAAAATTGGAAACCAAAAAGCCCTACGTTCTTTTTAATAAACTTAAAAACCCCAGGGGCACCTGGGTGGCTCAGTTAAGCAACTGCCTTCGGCTCAGGTCATGATCCTGGAGTCCCAGGATCGAGTTCCGCATCGGGCTCCCTGCTCGGCAGGGAGTCTGCTTCTCCCTCTGACCC